TTTAGCCATGCATTAGAGTTAGACCATATAACATTTAGCGTAGCATTCATTGAAAACGACAACAGTAACTATGCACAATGAAGAAAACTACTAAGAGATTTATAGAAATGTGACATTTTGTACTACTTGTACATTTTGTCAGACTGTGTCACTGTGAGCTCCTGTGCTGCTGATGGATGGACTGTGTTATGAGTGAACAGTCAGTTATCATCCAAGCTATTCTGCGTTTAGTAAAAACGCAGGGGTGATAATCGCAGGATGTTGAGATTATCACCACAAATACATTTCCACTGGCAGAAAAATATCACAGACAGATCATTCAGAGACAACCAAAATGGCATGGATAGATAACCTAAGGGCTGAGTGCTAAATGTCTTTGTTTCTTCCATAATATAGATCATTTAGTCAACTGACCCTTTTTACACTTGTATTCACTCTCATAATGTCCAGAACAGTGACAGAAGTGGTTACTGATTGCATAATTAGCTGCTTCCAAATGCTAATTTAATTTAATGCAGCTTTGATGTATGCTAAAGTGACACTGTAGATGGGGAAAGGAAGGCACAAAACACAGGACTGGACAGTTTTCAGATAATGTTCGACTGAATACATTTCTGTCTCATTCAGTTGTTTCTGTCGTTGTGCAGTGAGCTCAGGTCTGACTAAACTCTTTACTGACGTTTTGTCCAGAGGGAGTTTCTCTCCCACACACCTCCTTTGTTTACTTCTGTAACAAAATGATATCACTATGTTACACTCGCACTTCTATTGGCTAGTGCTCCGACACATTGTTTGTGATATGCTAAGGGGCGGGACATCAATCAAGTAGTTGACCAATCACAACAGAGCCGGCTAACCGGCTAACCAATCAGAGCAGACTGGGCTCTGGTTTCAGACAGAGGGTGAAATGAGGTGCTGCAGCACAAGCAGTATGATACAAATAAAGACCTTATTCAACATTAAAGAATGTAAACATCACACAGTAGAGGAACAAAATACAATTATGAAACCTGAAAATGAGCATGATAGGGAACCTTTTAAGATCAGTAAAACTATTAGTACAATTGCCAGATGGTGGTCCTAAAATGAAAGGGTTAATTATAATTGAATGAAACTGACCTTTTGGAGGAAGGTTCAAATATAAAAAAATTAATTTCCATGCAAATGAGTGCAAATGAGTGGGAATGTAATACATCCTTCAGTTAGCAGGTAGCTTCTTGGTTTAAGTTTTTAATTGGTGGCTCAAACGAAAATCTCAACATGCAGCCAAGGGTTATAAAACAAACTAGCATCGTTATTAACTAGACGTTCAGACACTTGTTTCTGGGCTGTAATTAGCATCCATTAGCAGCTATACATTCCTTGTTGAAACTACTTGTATGTCCGTAGTACAAAACCAAATATGGCAATTGAGCAATGTACACTTCCAGTGGCGGCTGGTGGAAAATATTTTAGGTGGGGCTGTGGAAATGGTGATCAAACAATACTAGGGGGCATTTTTTTTAGAAAAGACCCCCTAAATTATGACTTCTAGTGATGTTAGAGGGGGGGGGGGGGGGGAAGGACAATTTGAGGCTTAAAAATATGAGAAGACTGATCAATACCTCCATAACGTCAGTGTGGTTAGCTATGAATCTTCCAAAACTTCCAAACACCTTGTCCTGGACATAGTTTCTACAGCATAAACTGTGCTAACAAACTGATATTGCACAGATTCTAGAAATAAGTATCATCACTGAGCGATCAGAACTCGCGACAGGGGAAGCAAATACAGACATCACACGACGTAGCTTTAGGTAGCAAAACACAGAGATATGCTCACCTTTTGCAGAATAACAATTCTGATCAAAAACGAGAAAAACGCAGTTGAAGGTTAATCCATACTGTAGGTTAATCCAATGTGTCTGTCACTTTGAAAAATGATTGATGATCCATAATTCAATTTTTATGTCAAAAACTGAGTTTTCATTAGCTGCTAATGGTAGCTTCCAGAGTGTATGACAGCTTCCTGTTTTGTCTCCTTGGATACGAGTCCAAACAACTCACAGACTGCACCGGGCGCTCACGTAGGAGCCCTGTGACCATCAGATTTGACGACGCTGATTGGCTGAAATGTTTCGGCGGCATAGTTTAAAGATAGCAACAGTTGGCTTCTGCTGCACTTGCTGCATTCTCGTCTGGGCGCTGTGCATAGCGCCCAGACGAGAGGGAGTAATGATACACGGGCAAGGCCAGGCAGGAAACATGTGACTTATCAGTAACTTTAGACATCGTAACACAATTTTAAACGAGATTTTATTATAGATTATACATTTTACTGATACCAATTATATAATATTTACCTTGTTTATTAAAAATAAAAATAAAAATAAAAAATATATTTTTTAAATATATATATACCGTAATTTTCGCACTATAAAGCGCACCTGAATATAAGCCGCAGCAGCTAAATTGAATGATGTGTACATATATAAGCCGCACTGGACTATAAGCCGCAGGTGTTTTAATGTTTAATTACCATATCTAAGGGTTCGTGCACAGAGGGGATTGTCGGGAAAGAGATGGCTGTTTGAGGAAGCTCCCATTTATTAACATTTCAACAAACAAGTTGCATATTTGCATAACGTATTCAAGTGTTACCATTTAGTGCAATAGTAGCTACAGAACATGTACTGTGCTGTGTAAACTGTACTGTATCACATAGCGTTTCAGACACACAAACTTTTCAACTTTCAAACTTAGGAGAGGTTACGTCTTCTTTGTGTTATAAGATAGGACTGGCAGGGTCAGTCAAACCTGGTCGTTATCCCGCGGAGCTCCTGTCCCGGTCCCTTGCGCTCTCTCGGCCCGGTGTCTACAGGGCTAGCCCGAGGATCCCCCGCTAGCATCCCCCGCTAGCATCCCCCGCTAGCAACAGGCCTTCAAAACAATGTTAGAGGCGCTCCTGAAACAGCGTCAAAACGGGTATATTTCCCGGGCTTTAATATACGCTTTGTTTCACTCGTTTGTTGTTTTGCTCCTCCGTGTTTTCAGAGCAAGTCGTCGGAGCTATAAAAATCCATAGATTAGCCGCACCGTTATATAAGCCGCAGGGTCGAAAAATGGGAAAAAAGTCGCGGCTTATAGTCCGAAAATTACGGTATATCTTTTTTTTTTTTTTTTTTTTTTTTTTAATGTGGGAAGAGGGGGGGCGGCGCTCCTAGCGCCCCTAGCGCCCCTATGGGCCGGCCGCCACTGTACACTTCTATTTAAACACAAGAAAAGTAATGCTGCCATCGATATAGGGACAAAACTACAGTTTCTTTGTCAAAACATTTAACTAAATTGTGGCATAATTATGAATGGGCATCGATAACATTTTATTAATACCAATGCCATTGTACATTCTGCTTATCAGTTTGTTTGTTAATTGTTTTGGTTATTGATTCCTGATCAGTTTTCTGTGGTGTTCAACTTCAAAGCAGCTGATTTATTATCTCTGGATCTAAACATGGTGTTTAATGTCTGCCAAATGATGCTTCCAGTCGTGGAGACTGCAACCGTCAGAAAGACATGCCGGCTGATAAAAGGAACCGATAACCTCAATTCAGACACATGGAAAAATCTGAAACGTAACAATTATAACTATTAAGAAGCGAGAACCGGTTCCAGTTGTGAACCGGTTCTTGCTTCTTAATAGTTATAATTGTATCTATTGTAAATCTTCCCATGTAATTGAAGGTTTGTTGACCTTTATTTGCGAATGCTTGAAATTGTTTTTCTAGCCTCAATGAAGGATACAAACATAGTTCTACCTGTTGTCCAGCCTCTTCTGCTATACTCTTATCAACATCATTCAGTTTCACAAAATGTATGGCAACAATGAAACCTGAAGACTTGAAATAGAAACCATAAAATAGACAGCGTAACAGAAGAAGTGTTTTTATGTGCACAATCTAACATCTTTCTGCTTCACAGCATCTATTGTTCTAAAATGTTCTTTGGTGAGCCTTGAATTGATTATCTAATTATGTGGAAGACAAAAGAGCAGATTGTGTGTGTGACTGTGTGTGAACTCTCACAGAAAATACCGATTGCTCCCAGCAGATTTACTTTATTTCAAATTAAAGTGCTTCAAAGAACCTAATGAAAGAAATCTGTCATTTAAAATAACAACTAGTAATTATATGTGACTGCATCCCCCTCCAGTTTGGTGAACATGCAAATTATAATTGGACTGTAATTAGCTTTTATGGTGTCAGTGGCAGAAGTTTCAAACTCTGGAGGCTCCAGAGATTACTACAGACAAGCCAATGCCAGTTTTTTCAAAGATTAAACAAAAGTCCAGAGCCTTGACAGCGCCTCTGTGAGTCTGCTGTTTTTAGCATCTTAGTTACCTGTGCTGGGCTAACATTTGCCAACAAGCACAAATATAGACGATATATTTATAGAAGAGTATGAACTGCAGTGGTAAAAATGTTATCGTATCTATTTTTCTTAAACTATAAATAATTAAATTAATTATAAAACAACCAAAACTGCCAGTAATGTATACCATATAGTCATTAAAGGCTGCTGGATTGTTCACATGAACAATTGCATTCCAGTATGCACATTTTGAGTGGATGTTTTGTGTAGGGTTTGATTAGAGTCTCAATAATGTCTTACTGTATTTCAAACTGCTGGGTGCCTTTTATATTAGTAACAGAAAATGTCCATATAATGCAGGTCTTTATTTAGCTGAATAAAATAAATACCCAGCATAATTTTTGTTTAAGTAAAACCTTTGTGTCTTATTCCTGATTTTAAGTCATCAAAAACTTTTATTAATAAAATGGAAATGTATCAACTATGAAGCCCCACTTCTGATCAAATGTGTAGATCCGATATTAAAACCTGTTGACCCTGGGACTTTCTTCTAGCTTCTTCCACACATAACCTGTTGATCGTTTATCCAGCTAAGTGATGGCTATGAAATTGCATGAATATAGTCACCAACTTGCTTCTTATTGTGTTTTCAGTTGATAGGTGGCTTCATCCTGGGCATTGGCATCTACGCTGAGGTGGAGAGACAACGCTTCAAGACTCTGGATGGAGTGTTTTTGGCCCCGTCGATAATCCTGATCCTTCTGGGAATCATCATGTTTATTGTTTCACTCATTGGAGTCCTGGGTTCACTGAGGGATAATATAACGCTTCTGAAAGTGGTGAGTGGTGTGCCAAGTGATTTATCTTTTTGAAGGAAAGTGGCTACTATGATGCTTTTGTATCTTGTATTTATTTTTCTTTTAAGAATAACACACTAGAACAATCCATGCTTTCACTTCTTATTTACAAAGTAGAATTAGTTTTGAACCAGTGTGTTTAAACTTACCTCTATCTGTGGCAATAAATGCCTTTTTTATAACACTGAGATATATAGATGTAGTATGAGTTAACATACTCTCTTCTAAAACTGTATGTCTCATAATTAATTAATTAACCAAGCTTAAAGTGATGTGGGATGGGGAAAGCGGATACTGTGCAGATAAAGAACATATTCCTAAAGATGCAAACACAAATATATTAGAGGGTTAATTTCCTGTTGTCTTGTGTGCTATGAGCAATACCTGACAGAAAAGGACACATTTGACCTGCAACACATTGATAATGAAACACAGTACCTCAGAGATTGAAGATGGAGGGGGAGAAAGTCACCTGTCGGGGCATGACATGTTTCACCTGCAGATCGTGTCAGTGAGTGACAACGCTGCAGCCCCCCGGGGTCGGCCTGGTTTTCTCGGTGATGTGTCTTGAACATGTCGAAGCATGTTTCCTGCAATGTTAGTGAAGTTGTGTGTTAGTCTGCCATGGTCCTGTAGTTTCACATGAAGTTGTTACTAGCTGAAATATTGCATAGAAGTGACATTCATCCTTGTATATGTGATGGTTTTAAATTGTGTAGGTACACAGGTAAAGTATGCAAGCCATCATATGAATTTGGGTTTACAGTGTGTGCATGCAGGTATATTATAGTTTTTGCCATCAGGAGTCATTTGAAGTTAAACAGCAGTTCACTTTGGGCATGGGACCATATTCTTTCCTTTTTACGCTTAAACATTTAGGGATGTAAATACAGTGGGGGGAAGAAATTAAGAATTTAAACAAGTTTTTGCTGTAGAAAACAGGCGGCCTCTCGTGACCGCAAAACAAAGCACATCACAGGTTGAGGGTTGTGACAAGCCTGTGGCACAAGACGTCATATTGTTTATTTATAAAAATAGAAAACTTTGGTGCCCACCTTCGAAGTAATATTTGTAACTCTATGAGGAGACATGGTACCTCAACGGATGTATAGCTTTGAGGCTGTGGTAAAAAAAAATCATGATTTCATTGTCTCTAAATGTATTGATAACTTAACTCAAAGAATATACAGTGGCTTTCAAAAGTATTCAATCCCCTTGAAAGTGATCAGATCTGTCTGGAAAACAAATCAATTCAAACACATTTTTCCAGTCAATATGATTATAGCAAACTCTGATACTTTATCTTAAAGGTCAAAATTAATTATGTCAGCAGATCTTTTAAAGAAAATAAAAGTATTTAATCCCTACACATTAGGCCACCTTTTGACTGCAGCCTAAAGTATGTGGGCTACTGTAAGTATCTAGCAGCTCGGCACACTGTTTAAAGAGATTTCCGACCATTCCTCTCTGCAGATTGGCTCAAAGTTTGTAAAGCTGGTTGGAAGACGCTTCTGGACCACAACATGTTATATTATGAATATAAATATTACATTTGAAGTGTATAAGTTAAAGGTGTATAATGGCTCTTCCTCTTCTGTTTGCTCACAGTTCATGTACACCCTCTCTGTGTGTCTGATCCTGGAGCTGCTGGGAGGAATATTGGCGCTGGTGTTTCGGAACCAGGTGAGCGTCCACGATGTTGATCAAGTCAAAGTCAACTTTAATGTCAATCTTTCAGTTTGTGTGTACAGACAGAGAGATCGAAATTACGTTTCCAACCATCCCGAATACAAAAATACAATTATACAATATACAGATATGTATAAAAATATGTACAAAATATGTATATCCTACAGTATATACACAATAAACAGACACATTTACACACATGCACACATTAAGATAACAAACACAACAATCAATATATACAAATTAACAGTCACTTCAATATCAACATCTTTGGTGCAAGATTGACGGGCGGACAGGATTTACCTTGCATGGCAGCTGTGCAATATAACAAGATCACTTGAAAGTCCATCTTGTCGTAATAATGCAAATTCAAGAGCTTTCATCAGTGGGCGTGAAGCTCAACGTTCTTGCACTGTTGCCTCATTCAGAGATAGATGGAGACTAAGAAGATATTTATTTATATGGAAATCTTTTAGATTACTTTAACTACACAGGGTGGTACAAAATAATGAACTGCGACCAATTTGATGTAGTGGAATAGAATATATTAAAGTACATTTATATAATTATGATAATCATTCTTCAAACATCTTATCGCATATTTTAGATCAAAGATAAACTAAGCCATGCAAGTTAGTAATTAGATTTCATCCCACTTTTTCTACTTTAATGGATATATCAGTGACACGGCATTCAACAGGATTATTTCCACATATTTCTGGTAATTTCTCGGAAATGTACAGAGACAGTATCATCGTAATTGATCCCTTTTTTTAAAGATTATATCATTATCATTAAAATGGTATCATTATGCTGATGAATTGTTTTGCTTCCCTGACCTGTCTGTGTCTTTTGTATTCACCTCTGTCTTTCTCACATCTAAAATGTCTCTCACATCCTTTCTTTGTCTTGCTCTCTATTTTTGTCTTCAGTTTTTGATCTCATTTCCTTCTTAGCAATAACATCCCTTAATGTTTCCGTGCATACTAACACAGCCGGATATGTTGTATTTATGCAGCGGTGACTAGTCAAGCAGCATTCTTGAGTATCATTCACGCTTCGGGGGGGCAAAGAAGACATGAAGGGACCAGAAACCCTAAATAATTATCTGACGTGTTAAAACTGGAAGTTATCAATTGATTTGGAATTACTTTTTTATACAAAACAAACAATTCATCACAGTTATCAGGGTTAGTGACGGTCCTGAAAGATACAAAACATGTGTCCCAGTCTTTCTGGTAAAGGATCATTTTTTGATTTTCTGAGGGAGAAAGAAAGGGTTGTAGAATCCTTTCTTTTCCTAACTGTTAAAAAGCGTTGGTAAGGACATGACAAATACTAAGGGTTCCTACATTATGCTGACTTCCTTTAGTTGATTATAATAAGATTGAAATCCTTGTCATGAACATACATATCTGCATGAAACTCCTTTTTAAATTTGCATCTAAATAAGAAGGCAAGCCACTGTATCCTTCATCGTTTTGTTTCCTGCTAAACTTTTATATTAGATATGTACCTGCTGTAGCTGGCATAAGCATAAGTATGTTGTGTGATTAAGAACAACTTGGTGTGAACCTACTGTAATCTTTGTTTCCATTATGACATTTTTTGAAAGTCATTTTGTAGAAGTGAACATAAAAATCTAGATCCTATTTTGGCACATGTCATTTACACGAACATCGCGTTAGAACTGACAAATAGGTTCTCGGATTTAAATGTTTTAATTAATAACATCAGTTTTCTTGATACAAAGATCTGTCATAGATATCTTAATGTGGCCCAGTGGGGAGAAAGGCTTGAGTATCAGTGTCTCATTTCTCCACTTTTTAATGCTTTCAACCGTCTCCCTCAATTGAATAATGGCCGTCTTGGAACAGATCTTTGCAATAATATCGTGTGGTGCATTTTAATGTTTATGCCACGTTGCAAAACCAAATGATCAACATAATGATTTTTATATTTCAGAACTAATGGCAGTTCTATTTAAGATCCCATCAAACCCAGCTTCTAATATGTCATATCTTAACTTCATTGCCTCATTTGAAAAGATATAAGATTTCACTTTCTTTCCCCTCATTTCCATGAACACTGTGTTTGAGCTCATAGCGAGTTCTTTAATAATGATAAAGTGTCTCAAAGGGAATCGATTCAGTGGACTAACTCGGAGTCTAGATATCTGCTTATTGTAATGTGGTTTAAATATGGCGGCGTTGCACATAATGCAGTATATTCACTGTGAATATCTGATATGTTCAGGGGAGAAGAAAGAGACATTTAATGAAAAACAAAGTGCCTTTACGCTCTGCAAATCTCAGGAGGGGAGCAGTCTCAAGTTTGTTGGTGGTTTTAAAGAGAAAAATGACGGAGAATATGCAGGCCTGAATGGCTCAATGCTTTTTATATCCTCTTCTCTAATGAAGTATAAATAACACTGATGTATCCAAAACAAAGAGTGAAGTGAAATGAGTGGAATACTGTAGTTCCCTAAATTAAAAGCTCTCCATGACTGTACCTAATGGACTTTAAAGTTGCAAATATTTATTCTCAGTCTCTGGATAGACCGATGCATTAACCTAAGGTGACCCCGCCGCACCAGATTGTGACTGACAGATGTGAGCTGTCAAACTGTCATCATTTAATATTCCAGTTCAGTGGATCAGTCACCTTGAGAAATCGGAGCATTTCCTCTGGAGAGCTGCCTGTGTGACACTCTGATTGTATATCAGTTATGTTGTGGATCAAAACACTTGTGTTAACATGACGTCCTTCATCCAATTGACTCACAATCTGTTTCTCTTTTGTTGGTTTTTCTCCCTCTTACAGACAGTGGGGCTACTGAACAAAAACATCCGAAAAGGCATCGTTAACTACTATGATGACCTTGACTTCAAAAACATCATGGACTTTGTGCAGAGGAAGGTAAGGTTGTCATTTAGTGTCTTTATAATTATGTCATAATGCAATGCATGACTCACAATATGAATGCACTACACGGCAAGTCAGGACTTGAAATGAAATGAAATGATCGCAGCTAGTTGTTTTCAATATAATCAGATAACTTTGCGGAGCCATCCAACTGCACCTGCTTCACACAGCCTGAAACCAACTTTTTATTAAGCACAAGGGGTTGCAGTGTTTGGGGTCAGCAGACATTTCCCACTTGGAAAGTAAGATGCAGCCTGCGGCAAACTCCACTGATATTAGGAAGAAGAGAAAAGACAAACAATGCCTCAGTCTGCAGGCTAAATGCCACATGCTATTAAGGAATGTGCAAAATGACCAGCACCAGTTCCAGCGGAGCAGGATTGTTTCCTGATTGAATTATATTTAGGCCGCTTGAAGGCCAGAACGTATTGGCTGTTGTTGTGTGGAAGGTAATTTGGTGCTTTAGCGAGCACCTGCCTCAGTTTGATTCACTTTACAATGAAACTGGTCAGCTTTAAAATATAAGATTGGATTGTGAAGGTCTAAACTTCCACATATTTTCTGTAGGCATGTCACAGTACAAAGAAGTCACAGTTTGGTTCATATTCTGGTTTAAACTCTCATTTCATCTTTCTTTTAATTTATTCTGAACAGACCGTTGTGGCAAAGTGTCCTTCTCCATCCTCTTGCTCGAGGGTGAAGTAACATTTTGCCCTCTGGACGTTTGATCAACTTTATTCATTATCAAAGGAATGAAAGGAACATTTTCAATACTTCTGTATTACAATCTACAAACAATAAACACACACTTTCTCAAAAAGGCACGGCTCACAGTAGGCTATGGACTGAAAAGCATTCCTTACAATATGAAATTAAACATAGAAAAAAGAAAATACTATTGTAAATTATACAATCAGTGCATTAGTTGAGTTTGAATTAGTTCCATCTTAATGTGATGGCAGTGGTGTTGTTGGCATTTTTCTAAATCATCAGTCAAATCTGACCAAACTCCAATGACAAAGTCCTGCAGAGTTTTTTAGCGTTGAACTCTTACAGAAAGATAAGACAAGATGAAAACAGCGTGACAATGTGAAAAGGGTCGCTAATATAGATGAACCTACAGAGCATTGGGTCTCTCAAACGTCTGTCATAGCATTTACCAGAAGCACCAGGCGTATGTTTCCAGGGGAAAAGCTTCTAAACCCCACTGCACACTGCCTGCTCAGCACTACACAGCAGACTTTCACAGTTAGAGACTAACTGATGAACATAGTAGAGCGTTGAGCTGCCAAAGAGTCATATATTTCCCTCAGGAGATGATGGAGACCAAAACCAGAGCTAAAAGGGAGTGATTATTGAACACACATTTACCAGGCTGGGATACACACAACTCAAATGAATCTGTTGATGAAAAGACTCTCTGCCACCTGCATCAAAAGTTTCACAAATGCAGGAAATAGTGGTTTGCCATCTTACTTTGGTATGTCATCCAGTCGATAATTTCATCAGCGTGTGCTTTGGAGTGTGCTACAGTACCTCCAAAGCAATTCCACTTCATTATCCCTCCAAACACAAGAAGGCCAGCTTGCTTTGGTAGCAGATTTTCTTTAATGTTTGTTCTGTAATGGGATTTCTTAACTCACTGGCACTCTGCTCTGCTCCTTTATTACGACAAACAGCCTCAGTGATGGTGGAAAGCCATTTGGCAGCAGTGGTTATATCTCACAGTATATTTCCTGTGACTGTGTCAAGCTGCTGCTCGTGTCCTGCTGTATAAGAGATTTAAGGGTTTTCTAGAGGACTGAAAGAAAACTTTAGTGGGGATTGAGACTGATTCCACTCTTAAATGGACTTTGCCAATTGATCTGGGAGCATATTAGCACTCAGGATATAAGAATGAACCAATGTTTGTTTACTCAGGTTTTGCAGAAAGGCTAAACGTAAAGTTTTGCTACCGAAGTAGTTTCATCAGACAAGCTAATGTGCGTCAGTTACGTAAACAAAGCGGCACCTCAGTGGCTTAAAGCTTTGGCTTAGTCTTTACAATCTGTATTTGTGAGGACAATATCTGAATGTGGCCGTGTGTTTTGTTGAGTAAATTAGTCAACGGCGACACATGTTTTCTTGGTTGTAAACAATGGAAATAAATCTCTGTTGTGCGTGGGTTGGTGACTGGACATTATGGAAAATGTGCAGTTCTTACAGTGTTTTGTTCCCTGTTCTTTTAAGTGTGACTTGGTATCATATAGAATTATTTAATTATTTTGAATGTTGTTTAAATGTTTATTGTTTTACTGAATCTGAATATGCTATTGGGAAAAAGTAAAAATAAAGCTTAGAGCCTGTAGTTCTCAGCTTTTAAGAAAACCGGTTGAACTATAGCAAATCAGAGCAGGTACAAACACGTTTACCTTTAGAAGTGTTCACACTTTTTGATTATTCCTCACACTCTAAAATGCAGCCCTAACCAACTGTGATTCTCAGTTGCCAAAGCCCAGCTGTTAGCTTTTTGATTAAAGGTCACCTATCATGCTATTTGTAGGCAATAGCATAGGTCTCAGATATATAAAAAACATGTCTATGAAGTGTTTTGCTCAAAATACCAAACAGATCAACCATTCTAGCCATGCCTCATATCCCTCTATTTCACTTCCTGTTTCAAAAGTGCTGATTTGGGTATAAAGCTTTAAAAAAATTAATAAAATTGATACAAATAAAAAAAAGGAGGGGGCTGAGCTCATGCGGGACCCGGCAGCTACTGTCTAAACTAAATACTGCTGTGATGAAACGCCATATCATGGATTATCAAGGATTATTTCTGAAACAGTATGGAGCTCAAAGGCTTTCTCTCTTGCCGGTTATACCACAAGGTGAGTTCCTTTTTATTTCCTGCTTCTTCACACACATGCTCTGTGCAGTACAGGTTAGCTCTGAGTGTTAGCGATGCTAATGTAAACACAGACCATATTACGTGCAAAACAGTCGGGCATTGTTTCTAATAGCAACGTTTCTGATAGTGCCGTGGGTCCACATTTCCAATATTACGTCATATCGGACGCACATCTGGATCAGCTCCGTTGTACCCCCGTTTTTAGAGATTTGGGTACGGAGGAAAAGAGAGGGTTTTATTTTCTGACGCTGCGCGAGTTCCCTGACACACCGGGGACACATATTTATGTATAAAAGACATATAAAATCTAAATTGTTTCAGGTGTTTATCAACAGGAAATGAAAAAAAGATCCCCGAGCCAAAAAACAAAACTATGAATTAGTGGCAGGTCATATTATATGCTGTATAAAGTACATTTCAAGCTGACCTTTTATATCCACTCTCTAATGGGAAAGTGAGAGTTATTCCACCAGGAATGGCTGCCTGTGGCTTCAACAATCAGAAAGACAGCAAGTTCCTTTAAGTGCTCACAATTACATAGATAATCAGAAAAGTAATCATAAACCACTTCAGGTTCTTATTGCAAGAAGCTCTGAATTGAAGTAACTCTAGACACCCGCCCACGCCATCAATCGTGAATTTATCTTGAAGTTACAGCGTTCAGTGTTGTTACACCCGTTGAATCAGGATGTTCTGTTTTTATATCAAGAAGTCTTGCAGCAGTACAAACAACAAAGCCATTCGGTCGTTTCAACAGACACTGACTTAATTTGCCAAGCGCTGTGTGTGAGTTAGTGTGACTAAAATGTGATCATGCATATTTATAGGTTCATTTGGGATTCATCACAGGAGGCTTTGGTGGCATTTGGGCAAAGCAGGGCTAAGCAATTGGATTTACAAAGCACATTTTAACATGAGAAACTCAATGTGTTTTACATTAAAATGCATATCAAAACGAGTAGTTTGTGTTTATGAATGTAATGATAACATATCTACAGGAAAAGCAATAACAGTAAACAGAAGACGGTACAAGAACAATTTAATAAATCCTACACACACACACACACACACAAACACACACACACACACACACACACACACACACACACACACACACACACACACACACACACACACACACACCACACACACACAACCACAATGATCAACCGTCAAAGCTCAGTGAAAGATAGAAGGCTTTTGATTCCATGTTATCAGTAACGCATTTTGGATCTGTGTGATGATCTCAGAGGTCTGAATGCTAATCCCCTTATGCACTAATACAATTCATAAATTAAATCCCATGTGTTACATAAATTGATTATAATGCATTAAAGCCAAGCCAGGCATTTATTTAGTCCCATGTGGAGTAACATGCTGTTTTTTCTGGGAAGAGGCAACGAATGCATTATAATTTAGTATAACGCCAATGATTAATAAAAAGCTGTTTTTGAGTTATGATGAGCTCTTAAGCCCAAGTCACATACGCTGTTCATTACCTATTGTATTATTTCTATATAACTGTCAATTAACTTACAAAGAAAAGAAAGGTCAGTAGTCTGAATATAGTAAAGTCTGTCGAATAACAATAAAGCTATGTAATGTCATCTGTGCAATCATGACATATGGCATTATGAGTGAAATGTTTAAAGTGATAATCATATATCTTCTCATTTTACAGTACCCTAGAAACAGATGAAAAACATACACAATCTATGGAGAAAAACCAAACAAAATATTAGAAATGGGTTGTTAATAAAGTTATTTTAAATGTAAAGGTGAATCTCTCTGAAAAAAAAACAAAGTTGTTACTCTGTTGTCTGTTATTGACATCTGGATTCATGTAATTAGCGGCCGGGGATTGATCAAAGTGTGCCGATCCATCAGAGGAGGCAGCTTAACGTTGAGAGGAACAGTCCGTCATTCACGTGGTACGATAGATTTTTTTGTCTGGTTGTATTACTGTAGCCCCACTGTTGTTGCCGCTCTTATCATCACAGAGATACAATTATACATCATTATCTTCCCTTTAAGCACCATTGTGAGGAAGGCTCATACTTATTATGTGACATCAGTAGTCTGTCAGTTTGTGGCATTACAAGTGCTTTACCTCATTGATAACATGACAATCCCCGCCCTGAACCATGAGCCTGCAAGGCATCACTACACTTCAAATGTCAAAGTCAAATTACAATGTACAAGACACTGAAGGTGGACTAGAGGTGAAAATATAAGTGTTTTGTTTTTGAGTTTCTATATGTATTTGTTATCAGTGTGAGGCTGCCTCAGAAGTTACATCCTTCTTTGGCAGTGCAGTTACTGTAATCTCAAACCCTTGCGTACTGGAGGTAGTGTCTGCTGTTTCAGAACATTTACCGACACAATTGTTTTTCTTCATATGCTATTTTTAAGATATCTGCATGACTATACAAAAGCACAAAAGTCATGAACTGCATTGCCTTTTTTTATTGTTTCAGTCAACAGATGTATGTGAGGACTAAGCAGATAATATGTGGGAAGCAAGTCCTGTCAGAAATACAAAGAAAGTAGGTAGGAGAGGGAAAGAAGATGAAAATGAGAGCAGGAATATAATATGGTATGATAAAGCTCGAAATAAATAAATGTGTTGTTGCCTACAGTTCAGATTGATGAGAAATAGAAGAAATTCTGTGTATTTTCTACTGAGAGAAACATGACTCCAAGTTTATCAGTTGATTAACCAAGTGCCATCTGTGTCACTCATTTCACGACTGCCAGGAATAGTTGTTGTTTCTTTGCCATATTTATTTTGGCATGCCATTTAAACCACGTAACGGCTCTTTTTTTTTACATGCTGGTTTTTGGTCTTTGCCGTCTCTGATGCTCTAAAAAAAAAAAAACGGCATGCTCTTTAAAGATCTTTGTCGCTATAATCTGCCATTACCTGCATTGTGTCCGTCTTCAATTGATCAAGTGACGCTGCACAACGATCTGTCACTATAATTGCTATGGGATGGCACATGATAGAGGCATGATATTTGGCCAGATGATGGATAAGGGTTTGTTAGTGCTCACCACCAAGTACCGCATCAGGTGATTACAGGTACACTCTTCGCAATGTTGTTTAATGGAGGCCTTTACAAATTGACAGGAACATATTTTCAACCCTCCGGTATCACTGTGGACGTTTTTGTCCCGAATGACTAATGTGGGAGTTTTTTTGTTTAATCGGATTTTGTGCAAAAACTAATAATGCAAAAAAAAACATTTTGTTGCTAATCTTCGACATATCCAAGACTGTGATCAAAAGCCATTCCCCAGATATGTATTATATGGAAAATAAATCATTTTCTCTGTTTTTATCATGAAAAACAACAGTGATTTCATGTATTCAAAATGGCATTTAAAGGGTTAAAAACCTGAAAATGATTAAATATTTGGTATTTTTGATTAGGGCGGAAGTTGCTTTAAAGATTGAACCCAAAAAAGTTGAGAAAAAAACCTTTAAATATAATGTTTTTATCAAAGACATTTTTGTCCCGAATGACTAATTTGCGTAGTCCAATCGAATGATACCGGAGGGTTAAGAATCATATGAATACATGTTATGATATTCTCTAAATATGATCCACTGTTAAACCGACTGTTTTCTCAAAGTCGACACAGACATTATAAACAGATGGTAGTTTATAGCTCACAAGGGTTCAAATATTCAACATAAACAAATGGGATTGTCAATTTAATGCAAATCCTTCGGTGCTGGGATGATAAAGATCCCTTTTAGTGTTAAAGCAGCTGCAGCAAAGCAAATACAGTTCACAGCAGGCACGTCTGTACAATAAAGAGAACAGCTTGGTGCAGGCTTGATGGGGGTTTATTCCTGATTATAGGTTTTAACCACATAAGTCATCAACATTCAAAAAATAACCTGGGTCATCATTACTGTTAATTTAGAGCAAATAATGTCCCCGTGCCGATGCCCTTCACTCTGTGGAAAGCTACAGTGAAGATCATTGTGTTTGCTTCCTGTTGGTGTGAGTTAAATGGTTAATTTTACTTCTATAGCGTTTTTGGTGAGTTTAATGGAAAAAATACAGCGCCCAATGTAACTGCAGAGAGCGTTTGCTTCTTGTTAATTACATAGTTTGGAAAAGGAAATCCTAGACTTAGACTATGGGAGATGGGAAAAGTACTCCGGTGTGAACGCGCTACTAATGGCACGCAAACCTTTAATGTACCTACCAATTTGATCTTAAATGGTATTGGAGCTTTGTTTTCAATGTGGACCTTAGTGCATGAAAGATCTGTCACGCTGTTGCTGCATGGATGGCATGTTATAATGACGGCAGGAAGCAAAGGATGGCCTGACTTCTGTCTTGGGGCCACACTTTGAGCAGTCAGCTGGTCAATTAGCTGTTCAGTTAGTCAGATAGTGAACAGACAGTCATCAGTCAGTAAAGCAGATAGCAACTAAATCAGTCCATCTGCAAATACTTCTTACTCAGAGACTCGACTGTCTCTCAGGGCTGTCTCCCAGTGATTAACCTCTGAAGATGTTAACATAGACTAAATAAGAAAAAAGAGATATAAAGAGATAACGGTTAATAAAATGAATCTGCAGCACTGAGAACAAACGGAAATGGCATTTGATTGAGACAGATGAAGGAAACATAAATACATTTGATTTGTGTTGAATTTGACTGAAACTTCAATTAACACATTTTGTAATCCAGTCTTAAATATGAAAGTGACATGGAGTCTTCACAATTTCTTCTCTCATCTTCCCTTTGTCGCATTGGTACGTCAGGTTTTTTGGGAGATGGGTACTTTAAGTGTGTCCTGTGAGGACACAACTTCTCCTGAACTGCCTGTACTAACTTACCCTTAGCACCCTCTCAGGAGTATAGGTTGTCGACAGGGACCTCCAGAGTTCTTGGTCCTTTGATTTATTTTCTATCTGATGCTAGGTGTAAAGTTGTGTCCCAAATCTGTACTTTCAGAGGAACCGTCCAAACTACGTTGGTGTTACAGAGTATCGATTCACATTTAATCAGTTGGTTCCAGAGAGCGTATCTGTGTGAGAGCAGAGCAGCTCAGCGGTGAGTGAGTGTGTGGGTTAGGGAGAGTGAAATACAGCATCCCTGCAGCTTGTGAAGTGAGTGGAGAGTACAAAGTGTGCTTACATTTTTCTAAATGCAAGCTGTAGTATTTGTAATGCAGAATTCAAAGCTGGCCAGAGCAACAGGTCCCACGAGAGCTTCCTCCGAGATATCCTGGTGTTTGTCTCACGTTGAGCCCTGGTGACAGACTGACAGGCTGGATGTTGGGGGGAGGGGATTGAATTTGTGGAGTGTTTAAAATGCCTAACCTAATGTTTTAAAAATGTACAATATTGAAAATGAGTTTAAGCTTACTTTTTACAACTGGAATTATATTTTTGCTATTAGAGATTAAGTACAGTAAAAGCTACTGGTAGCAAATTCCATGTGCTGTTATCCAGTCAACTGTGAATGGTACCCAACTCTATCCAGGCTGGTGTTATCACTCTCTCATCTCTCATGAGGGTTTCTTGTCAAAGCTTGTTTGATGGCCTTTGTGTGTGTGCTCAATCAATATCAATCTTCTTCTTTCAATTTCCTCCGCTGGGTGTAATTGTTGTGTCCTTGTCCACAGATTGTTCATCTTGTCTGTCGGTGGCTATTAAGAATTTTTACTTGGCAGTTGTTGTTAAAGCTTTGCACTTTATAAATGTCGGTCTTTGTCCGGTCTGAACTGGACTCAATTTCAATCATCTGCCCAAAGACAGAATGTACTGCAGGATTTTTGAATTACCTTTTGTTCCACAGTCGCGCTGTTAAGCTCTTAACACAGTGTGCAGTAATAATAGTTTTGGACTACCCTACACTTGTAGACATTAATTGAATCATAATTGCTTTGCCTTACTGTGAACCTCATTCGGGGTCCTGACCCGGTGCTGGATAAAAAGCGCTCGTATCAAGTGAGGCCAACAAGTAGAGGGAGAAACTTCCTGGCACTCTGGCAAAATGTCAGCATACTGATCACTTTTTATGTATTCATTTATTCATCCTTTCTCCATATCACTAGTCTTGTCCTCTCTTACCGTCTGACCTTTTGTTATATGTTCTCTTTCTGGCTCCCTAATAAAATATTTTACAGTATTGCTACAAAGTAAAGTTAATAGTGTTGTTGTGATGTAATTAATTAGAGTGCTATCAATTTGGGCAGAAAAATTCCTTTAAAATGATTTTAAGCAATCGTCTCTGATGGTTTTCGTATTTATCCAATCAACAGATGTTTCACGGTGCACTTTGTTGACCTGTAACATACGTGTGTTTGGGTGTCTGTGTGTGTGTGTTTTTAATTGAGGTTTTTTTTTCATGCTGCTGTTGCTCATCCACTGCGCACCTGTGGGTAATCACAGTGATTATCTTATGTAACTTCCATGGGGAGTCTCTGGGTAACAGGTGGTGGGAGCTAGAAACTTGAGAGCCACATTGTTTGTCAACCGTGTGTGTGTGCTTGTCGCTATTTGGAGTGGCATTTTTTGTTGTTCAATTTCCAGTACAATGTTAATTTAAATGAACATTATGTACGGCTACATTATCATTATCATTAGCAGTGTGGTTTGAACAGCCTTCACATCACGTAACCGTCAGTTAATCTGACAAAGAAGATTTTTAGAGAATGTCGACATTATTATTATTACATATATATATATATATATATATACACACACACACACACAGACCTATAATTACATGCGAATTGTTGTAAGAAAAATGATGGCTCATTTAATCCGTAAATGTTGCTTATCAAATTGTTACATTTATTTGTATCTCTCTTTCATCCCTGCCTCCCTTCTCTCCATCTCCTCCTCACATCTCCTCTTCTCTCCTCTCTTGATCTTTCGTTATTGTCTTACCTTCTCCTTCCAATTCCTGCACTTGACTCAACTTGCCATCTTTCTTTTCTCTGGCAGTTTAAGTGTTGCGGGGGTCAGGAGTACTCAGACTGGTCGGTCAACATGTATCACAACTGCACTGCACCGGGTCCACTGGCCTGCGGAGTTCCTTACACCTGCTGCATTACTACTAAGGTAGGAATCACTATTCCCATTAATATGAGTATTATCGCCACTGTAAACCGCTACTCCACCTGCTGTTACTAAAATACAGAGGCAAGCAATGGCTTTCTTTTATGGGCTTAATTTTGTTAATATTACACAGATTTCTGCCCCTACTTTCTGCACTACTACTTGGTTTTAAGTCTTACGCCAAACAATGACAAACGTTACGTTTTATTGATTCTGCTAGTACCTTGCTGTAACTGTATGTGCCACAATGTTAATGCAATGAATACATGTTAGTGGCATATTTTATGAACTTGTTGACATTTTAAGTTAAATTAAAAAGCATTTGTTGTGTTTTTTTTTAAAGAGGACATAATATACTTATTCAGGTTCATGTTTGTATTTTGTACCTCTACTGTGACATGTCTCCATGCTTTAATGTTCAAAAAGCTCTTTATTTTTCTCATACTGCCTGTGCTGCAGCACCTCTTTTCACCCTCTGTCTGGAACCACAGCCCAGTCTGCTCTGATTGGTTAGCTGGCTGGCTCTGTTGTAATTGGTCAACATCTTAGAGATGTCCCGCCCCTTAGCCTATCACGTAGGCCCCCCAAAAAAAAAAAAAGGGACTCTTTAATGTAAAATGTGTCTCTCCATATAACCTAAACACCTTCCCAGGGACAAATAACGTATATTGTATTTAAATTATGAAATGGACAACCTAGAACAAGCGCAGTGACCTAGAAAACGACACGTATCAGCTCGAGGCTGAAGCTTCTCTCTGTTCTGAGGCCTTGCTTGATGCTAGCATGGGGTTGATGGTCGTGAAGGGAAAATGCACACCTTTCACACTATAATTCCACATTCCATTGTCAAGTTGTCCACTGAAATAGCCAGTTTTAGCTAATTGCACGATCATTTATGACGCAGCATTGTTATCACCACTTGCAATGTGCCACTAGTTGCTATGCAACAGGTAGCTTTTCTATAAGGTGTCATTCCAACACAGACGCTAGTTAGTGGTGTGAGTTGTGACAATTGAATGTGGAAGTGATTAAATTGTATGTTGTCACGTTCAGGGTCCACACAAAATGTCTCTGAGGGCTGCCAATTAGCTAAAATATCACGCTACTGCTACAACTACACACTCTACTGTCGATCTAACTGTTGACATTAGAGTTGCATTATGGGTAATGCACCAGGTTGTGACAAGGAGGAGGAAAGAGGATATCTCTTGTTCTGCTGCACCAAAATTGTTGCTTTTTTAACCCTCCGTAACAAGTCAGAGAATTTAAAGAAGTGCAATGGAAAAAAGGTGCAGCTCTCCATACCATTTTTATGTATATTCTATGCTGAAATCATCATTTTCCTTTCAATCACTGCTAACTTTAGCTGCCAAACCACCCTTATCGGAGAATGCTATTGATGTATTTGTGTTAACTAGCTTTGAAGGTTGGTGTTCAATACTGGAATATGTAACATTTATTATTAAGTGCTTGCAAAAAGCAAACATGTCGTCATGTACCGCTCCATTTGAAAATTGGAGCCATTATAAAATATTGATATTTTTCATGCTAGACACAGTCCTGCAAATCATTGATTTAATAATCTTGTCCAAATGTAAAACAAATGTGATTAATATAGCACATAAGATAATGACTTAAAAAGGCAACCTCTCCTCCCTTCCTTTTCCCCCTCGGCCACGAGAGATTGTCAGTTTGTCGTTTCATTTTTGAATATATATATATATAATATTTTAAATATGGAAAACTACAAGCTCAAAATCATAAGGGACATGTTTGCATACAGTACACAGACTTTAGTTATCTCACACACAAACATGCACACACACTCTCATAAAAAAGCCAGAGCGCTGCAGAAATTAGTCCTCAAACCCAGAAATGAGTTGGTAATGTTGCACTTCTGCTTACTTTGTCTCAATGGAAATGTTTTTTGTTTTGATGCCTGAAATAAGGTCTCTGATTAAATCAAGAACATTTTACATTTTGTTTTTGCACAATAAATGTCAGTTAATAACCCCACTGAATTTTAAAGGTTGTACATGTGTGTGTCAAAAGCAGTTATGAACATTGTCTATATATGTCTACTATGAGGTTATCGGCGAAATTAAATGTCACCACACTGAACACTATTCCACTTTTTTAAGTCATGCAACAGTTTAGTCATTTTTTTACAACCGCACGTTAGCTTTTTGCATCCGCCTCTCTCATTTATGCTTCTACAATCATAAAAGATCATCTTACATATACAAATGTGTAAGTATAATAAGCTGATGTTGGCCACAAAGCCTATTTTCTGTAATAATAGACTGTAGAAACAACTATTGGCATTTTGTTGAGGGAACCAGGGCGATGCCAACTTCTGTGTTGGCAGCACTTTATTAAAGATCAACAATCAACAGTATTGTGGTCAGTGTTGGCTCAATATCACACACACAGTTTTATTTTGATGTCTTCATCAATCTTGTAGCAGGACTCTCATCAGTGTGTGCATGAGAGGGGCAGTTATGATGTGTGTCGGGTTCAATTTCGAGATTGCCTCCTTATTTGTCTGCTGTTGATTCTGCTGTTCTGTCTCCCACATTTCATTTCTACCTCCTAACTTCATCTCTTCTCTTTGCTTCTCTCCCTCCAGCCTAATGAAGTGGCAAACACTTTGTGTGGGTACAAGGTGTTGGAAAAAGAGGTAAGGCGTCAAAGGCTGTTTACTGAGGCCCCGTCCACACGGAGACGATTTCAGTTATATCCGCTAAAGTTCTTTATCGTATATAGACGGTTCGTCCACACGAAGCCGAAACGGAGCCGCTCTGAAACCGATAAACTTTTAAACCGGCTCCCAAAGTGGGTAAATCTGGAGACGACACGCTTGCGGCTCCGTGTGTACGCCCTCTAAGATCTTTTCCTGAATCGATGACGCCATAGCCCCGCCTCTCCTGCTCACCCCCGCGTCTTTGCTGATGCGTTTCGCCAACAACAATGGCGGATCACCGGGTTGCGTTCGTGCTCCAGACGCTACTGACCCTGATACAGATTTTAGTGCAAAATCTACAGCTCCTCTACCACAACCATCAGCAACAAGTGGACATGGAGAACTACATGAACTACCTTGTTTGTTGTTTATGCCTTATGCCCATGCTCGGGGGGGTCTTATTCGCTGCTTTTGGTGTATTTTGTGGCGGAAGTACAGCGCCATTTACAGGCCCGGCATATGTACTACAGCGTCTCCAGCGGTTTTGAGCGGTTTCGTTTGGACGGACACATTTCTTGAGCCGATTCCGTGTGGACGGAAGACTTTTTTGAAATTGACTTTGGTTCGAAATCGGTTTCGTCTCCCTGTGGACGGGTCCTGAATTAAGAGAAGACTGATGTCTCATTGAAGTGCAGCTCCTCTCTTTCAGTTTCAGTTTCAGTTTTTGTGTTTTTTTAATGAGGCAAAATATAAAATGTTTGCTGTGTATTGAATTGACTATAGTGATAACTGACTTACATCGAGGACTTTGTCATTTCAGTTATTTTATAGATTGAAACATTAATTTTTATTTTGATATGTAAGATTATTAGGTCCCAATATTGATTGATGCACTATGCTGCAGGTCTTCGGTAATTTTTGAAGCCTGTAACAAGCTATTTGTGTCCCACAGCGTTTGGATTTGATCGAGACCATCCATATCAGAGGCTGCACGGATGCCTTCTTCATCTGGCTCATGGACAACTATAAGATTATGGCTGGAATGCTGTTAGGGATCCTACTGCCTCAGGTACACACACACACGCACACGCACACGCACACACACGCACACGCACAAGCACACACGCACGTCACAAACTATCACTTAAGGCAGTTTTATAGTCATATTGCTCAGCACAGTTTTCCATATGTATAAGTAAAAGCGGTCTTTTGATGTTTGATTCAAAGCTAGAAATAAATAATCTGATGAAAATACGGCTACAGTGTTGAGCCTTTTGCTTATCAGAAGCAAACTGAAACGATCTCTGTGTTCACTTCTACCTTAATGGACACTACCATCGGCTGAAGGAACAGGAAGGTTATCTTGTCTGAAGAAAAAGTACAAATGTTATGAGATCAAGGAAAATGTCAAGTGGGCTTATTTGTGATGATTAAAGGACAATGCTTTACAATGAAATATCCTTCAAGTTTTTCTAGATCAATGATTATGAAATAACTTTACCCGCCTTTAGGAAATGAACAATTTTATTGGGAAGATTTTATTAGAAAAGTGTCTATGTTTGTAATGAAATGTAAGGCATTCTGTTATCTTTCACAAAAAACACCAAAGCATTTATTATCATGGATGATATTATATTCAGGGGTGAGGGAAAGTCTTTTTATTTTTATTTTGTATTTATTTGAGCAGTAAATTATGATTATTGAGTAGCTGGCAGAAAATGCCTGTGAGTCAGGTGAAAGTATATATTGATGTGAGATATATCAAACTGTCATCTGAAAGATCTGTTAGAGCAATATAAATAAAGAAAACTGGTTTTTAATGATTGGGCATAATTAAAAACGCAGAGATATTTTCACTTGTGGCATGTTGGGGCACATCACTACACTGATATGCTCCAACATGCCAGCTGACAGGTGATCCAGCTCGGGAAAAGAGGTCTAATTTCTCTTTAAATGATTCCTGTCCTTGCATATGATAATCCTTTCTGACGTGAGAGGTATAAGGACACAAGGATAATATAACATGCAAGTGAGGGAAGCAATTAAACATTTAAGAGAAATGAAGAGCTCACATGTTGACAACTTTCTCTAATCATCTTCCGTCTGTCTTTCTGTCTCCAGTTCTTCGGTGTGATTATCAGCTGGCTGTACATAACCCGTGTTGAAGACTCCATCAGTGAGTGCGGTCACTACATGGACCTGCTGGACTCAAACACACATCAAAGAGCAGCAAAGAGTCAGGGCCGCATGGCTAAGTGGTTCATGTGTATGCCAGAGATCGACTGACGGAGACAAAAAACTAAAAAGCAGCAAATGGACTCCAGCCAACGCCCCTAGTTGAATGACTCCGTGGATCCAGATGCTGCTGCAGCCACAGTGTGAGCTTACACTGAACTGCACAATTACTACATGTTTTTCTTTTGGTCCAAAGGAAAGGTTCAACAACAAGATTCCTTTTTTAGTTTGAACATATGTATCTAAAACAAAAAATGTCAAAGGGCCGAATGTGGTGTGAATTATTAATAACTGTGTTAACATACAGATTACTAATGCATGTGTGGGACCTCTAAGAGCTCCTTGAGATCAGGGCTTTTAGCTGCATTGGGCCCAGGAGAGTCTCAGGCAGACAAACAATACATCCACTTTTGCTTCCTCTTTTATAATATGACATGAAATAAGTCTGTTCATTTCCAACACAAAACCACAATATACATTACTAATATTACTTTTATACCAGTGTTGTTTTTATGTTTTGCTACCAATAAAATCATTGCTAGGCTCCTTTTATAACAACCACATGTGAAGCGGCTCCTATCATCTAACCAATACTTTGATTGCCTTCCTTGTAAATACAACTGGAAATACTTTGAGCTTGAAAATGAATTATGTTTAAATTTGAGGATGGAGAATAAGTTTGTATGAAGTACCCTGCAGTATTTACTGAACTTTTATGATGTGTCCAACACAACAAGGGTTGTTTATAATGCTGACATTTTCTTTATCAAAGCCTAACATTTTACTCTTCAAACTATATTTCTTTCTGGTGTTATATGAAAATGAAGTTCTATTTTGATTTAAAAAGATGATTATTAATGCTTTGCCACTGCCATAACAAATGTACATCTCAGGGTTACTGTTAGGTAAAGCAACCCTTCTTCTACTCTGTATGAATGTATGTACAACTTTTAACAGCAAATCAATCTGTCATATACCAACACACATTTCTTAAGGATTAGGTCGCATAATGTTCACACAGAACTTACTTCAAGTTACAAAACCGTGTGAATAGAAGCAAAATATGTATTTGTCAAGTCCTGTGCCTTTTTACGCCCTGTATCCACCCAGACCCTACACTCTAATTATTTGTTGCCTTATTACCCAAACAATTGTACATTTTTCATTGTTTCAACTGAACATAATCCAGGTGGTGATTGTGCTTGAAACAGATTCAGGCAAAAATCATTAGTAGTTTAGTACTAGCCAAGATGTACTATGAATAAAATGACCTTATAATATCCTACAACATATAATCAAGCGTGGTTTTTACTGTAGATTTACAAATATGCCTTTTTTTTTAAAGTTTTTTTTTTAAGTAAATAGATTTTGTTTAAAATGTCCCATTTGTCTTTTTGACGTCACACAACATCCTTAATTTGAGTAGTATCTACTCTTACTTTACATGTACATCACTGCTAAATCATGTTAAACAAGGTTCCCCTGTTAGCCTTGTATGCACTCGGGTATAATACAGATTGCCAGATTTAAAAGAAACCATTTCAAATTAAGAGTACATTTGATTTTAAAAATGACAAACATTTTGAGTTGAGAAAATTAAGAGTTTCAGTTCACACATTACTTGAATGTAACTTGTGAAGTTATTGGCCTGTGGGTTGAAGGTAACATTTAGCTTTATGCAGTATGATCAATTAGTTGAGGGTTTATTTAATATGTGCTACATTTACTACCTAAATCTTTTACCAGCTATGATTTGAAAATGCACTTTTATGGCCTTTTTTATGATTAACTACTCAACTGTACAATATTTATCTCAACAAAGTCCGTGTAGTACTTGCTGCCTTTAACATGAACAGCATGGAAGATGTTTTCTTAACACATTGCATGACATAAATAATATTTCAGTGATTGTATCGACAGCCTTTCTATAAATGTCATTGCTATAGTCTACAGTCACTTCCACATGACAGTTAAAGTACCAATGTTATCTCTTTGAAACAATAAGAAGTCAAATAGATGTATGTCCTTTTAGTTTAATTGCTGTTAGAACATTAAACGCACCGCCCCTATGTATGCCATGTACTGTGTGCATATCATGTGCTATATTCAAGTGCATACACTCGGTTTACGGCTGACCTCACAGGAAATTGCATCATCTGTTTTTAAAATACATCCCGAGTTGTTCAAAACTACATTTATTTAAAGAAGAATATGTCAAGTTGTTTGGCTTGGTTGAGGGTACGGTTTGTGATTTCTGTTGTTTATCTTCGAGAGGAATGAAGCACAGATTAACGTCTTCCTGTGAAGGGATATTTGGGGGTTAAGGGACTGTTAAATAAATAATGTCTGATACAGAATCACACTGTGTATTTTCTAGAGCACGCTTCACCCTGAGTCACATTCACTGTATAAATCTTTCGTGCAAGATTATTAGTGAAAGGTATGTAAGGACTTGTTTACTTTCTTGTTGTGTTGTTACGTAATTATTTTTGGCAGAACCTGGAAAGTTGTTGACATCCAACTTGATCCATCTTTTAACATACCTTTACCTTGTCAGTTTGATCATTTGTGTAATCTATGTTTATCTTATTTAATGTATACACACAACACCTGCATATCTGTCCGTCCTGGGAGAGGGATTCCTCCTCTGTCGCTGTCCCCGAGATTTCTTCAAATATTAGATTTTTTCCCTTGTACGATGCGAGGGTCTAAGAGCGGGTGTTCTGATGTAAAGCCTCCTGACTGAGACATATCTCTAATTAGTTATATTGGGCAAAAAAACAAAACTCTGATTGATTAATTGTGAAGAATGAAATCTGGTGACATGCGTGATACAGAGTGCTATGGTGTAAGCTGTTGAATTATTTATTTGTTCCTCCTACTCCTGCTGCTCTGAGGACTTCCTGCTGGATTTAACCTTTTCATATTTTACTACTACTACTTTGAAACAAATATTCCCTCCATTCACACATGAGGGAATAATGTTTTGCGAATTGTCTGCATCAACACAGCTTAAAATACCTTGTTTCGTTTGTTCCCACCTGCTCTCATTCTCTGCTCCACAAACAGAGAACACTTATTTTTATTATTCATACCTTAAGTCTCCGGGCTTTAGTTCAAAGTCACAGTCGTGCAAAGTCAGTCCCCCCCTCATTTTTTGTTGTGAATTCAATGTACCATGTGTCTGTTCACAGGACTTCACAGCTATCAGGTATTGATATAACATTGGCATGACACATACAGGGTGTTATGTGCAGGCAGTGTTATTACAGATCTCACAAGAATCACTTTTAAAAAGGTGTGATTATGTAGCTGAGCATGTGAGAGCAATGTCTGTATGAGATGTATCAGAAAACATTTGAATCCAATCTGAAGTCTAACAAGTATGCAGCACTGCCATACCCCAACAACACAAGTTTCTAATATTTCCAGTGCGTCTCATAAATCAACATCCAAAATCCACTTTCACAGCCTTCTCAAGAGACCAGATGTGTTTTGATTTATATCGTCAGTTAAGACCACTTGCTTGTAAGGTTTTGGCCTCAATTTCACTGTCAAAGAAAAATGCTGGGGTCTTTTTACAATATGGTTTGGATAAATTCTATCCAACATGTCATATTTTTGCATGACAATTATAGTAAGGCTACAGCGCTACCCACTCCAAACTATAAACAGGTCTTACAAACTCATGCAGCAGAAGGGTCTCGCTGCAGAGATCCAGACTCCTCTCCTTCTCCTGCGTAACTTGACTACCTATTATTTTTCTTTCTTGTTAAGCTAACTTTAATGAAGTTCGATAACGACTTAAGCATAAGGTGAGAACAAGTTATTTTCTGCTTAAAGTTTAGTTACTGAACTTTGTAAGTTACAGTTGTCACGATATATTAGCTGTAGTGGCTCCCACACTGTGGAATGATCTGTTTTTACTTGTTTTATGGTGTGTGAGCTGTGCTGTGTGATTTTTTGTAACTGTTTGTTTGTTTATTTGACTGTACAGCACTTTGGTCTGGAGGTTTTAAAGTGCTTTATAAATAAAGCTGTATTGTATTAAGATTGGCTACCTGTGTGTGTGTGTGTGTGTGTGTGTGTGTGTGTGTGTGTGTGTGTGTGTGTGTGTGTGTGTGTGTGTGTGTGTGTGTGTGTGTGTGTGTGTGTGTGTGTGTGTGTGTGTGTGTGTGTGTGTGTGTGTGTGTGTGTGTGTGTTTTTATTTGCTTAACAGACAGAGTGTGGTTCTGCCTCTACATTATGGACTGCCTGTCACTGGCCTTGCTCACTGCGTTTGTTTCCCTTTGTCTCCTGTGTGACTCTCGGTCATTTCTGCCCGTCTCACTCTCAATCTGTCTATCCTTTGACTTTCACTTCTCCTCTTCAGCTGTTCACACTGAACCACATAAGCAAACGACTGGCAGCGGAGGAGAGTAAAATGGAAAATCTGTGCTGTGTATTGAAACAGTACAGAAGCAGTCAAGGTATCTTTTTATAATGTGGTCTATTGTGATCATTTATCATTTTGTATTACCCTGCTTTGTTGAATACTTGATTTGAATTGGTCAATTGGGCATTCTGCAGTCTGCTATTTCTTTGTTTATACAACATCAGAGAGACTCTTACTTTTTCCTATTCAATAATATAACATATGTGTTGTGACTGAAAGGCTGTTTCTTGCTGCGACCAACAGGTAAAATCCTACGGTGAAATGTAAAACAGTTCTCTCTCCAAATGTCTGTACAGCCATAACACACTGACACAGATACATAAATCCACCTTTATGTGTTGGCTTGTCAGTGCAGAATACAAGATTTCCCTCGACTGGTTTATAGTTATGTAGTAGTATCATGTAAGCTGCAGCAAGAGATTGCATTTCGTTTTACAATAGAGTTAAGTAACTGATTTATTTACTTCACTCTAACCTAATAATTATCTCACAGAAAAGTACTGCAGCAAAAATACTGAACTCATAAACAGACTAATCTCAGAGTAGAGAATGTTTAAAGCTCCCAGCTTTTTGGTCAGCACAGCAGCACTTTTGCTCTGAAGTCTGGCAAGGGGATGAAGGGCTCGTTGGTGCAGTGTTATTTATCATCACTGTCAAACTTTAAACCAACAAACAGAAACCAGAACTGTCACAAAAGCAGGTTTCCCTTTTCTGGGAACATTTGGGCCCACCAGGCTGGCAAACACACTCTCAGTACGCTGTCTTAGTTCCCCCATAGCATACACTACTGGACTGCTTGCATAAAGGCAATGATTCTATAGTACAGCACAACTACAACTTTGTTAAAGGGGTCCCATTATACTTTTGGGGGTTTTCCTTTCCTGTAGTGTGTTATATAGGTTTTTGTGCATGTAAATGGTCTGAAAAGGCTAAAATCCCAACAAATCCTGTCAGAAGTCCATTAGACTCCTTTGTTTACTTTCGTAACATAGTGACATCAAAATGTAACACTCGCGCTTCTATTGGCTAGCGCTCCAACACATTGTACATATGTGATAGGCTACGGGGCAGGACATCTCTAGACGGTTGACCAATCACAACAGAGCCAGCCAGCTAACCAATCAGCAGACTGGGCTCTGGTTCCAGACAGAGGGTGAAAAGAGGTGCTGCAGCACAGGCAGTATGAGAAAAATAAAGACCTTTTTGAAAATTGAAGCCTTTTTTATGTCACAGAGGCACACAAGACAAATATGTCGTCTTACACATGCTCTGGTGGAACATGCCAAAAAACTCAATTGAAATCCCAGACAGTGGAGTGGGAGTGAAGCGCTATATGTGACACTTTAAAATGGAGCATAAGCTCAGTAGCTGTTGGTTCACATGCCGAAATGGGCCAAAAACACATAGCTCAGTAATATCACATTTCAGTAACTGAATTATGATGCATGAAGCCGCCAAAAATACGACTTTGAAAGCTTTGGTTAATTCTGAAGAACAAGACTTGCTTTATTTTCTTTTAAATGTGATCACTTTTTGGTTAATACATATGTTTGGAATAGTTTGATGCAATAATATAACATCAATTTGTCTACAGTTCATGTTCTTTAGTTACCATTCGCAAAATCTCAATGTAGCCATTAAGAGAGGAATAATGTGCAGCGAGGCCGTCATGATTGAAAAGCAAACACCCGACAGGTTGATCATGCACCACACAATATAAATATATATATATATATATACACACTCACTCTAACTCACACACACAGACTCTATCTCGTTGTCACCCTGCTCAATAATGCGTGGGAAGGTGCTGGTCATCCATTTGTCTGATAGGTAGTTTGGTGTCTGGTTAGATGCTGACATTTAGCTCTGCTCGACAAAACAAGCCAAGCTAATCAGTCAGTAAGCAGCAGCAGCACAGATGGAGGCGTGTGAAGGAATCATCGAGTTAGTCACTATAGTCACTGCTCATTTTCTACGTGTTATAGTTACTAAAAAAGGGTTTTTTGAAATACAAAATCGATTAGCATCACAGTTGTCATTTGTGAAGTCTTTGTGAACTCTCTTCATATTTTCTTGGCCTTTTTTTGACCATTGTGTCTTTGTGATTAGTCTTGTGTGTGTATATAGGCCGGTGTCCCCTAGTGTTCATCCTTGGTTTTTCATCTATGTTTCTTCCTGTGTTCCTGCTATTGGTCTGGGCTCATGCAGTTTTTCTTTATTTTTGTTGTTTGGTTTTGCTTTGCTTAGTCTGATCCGTCATTTTGTATCAGCTTTATTTAATTAAAAGCTTGCTTTTTGTTTATGCCTTTATATTTGCCTCATCTTCTTTCTGCATTTAGGTCCTAATTTTCTTACCTCGTGACAATATAACATACATTATTTTCAACATAACGATTTTACTTGTGACAGCAAACTTCCACACTGTGGTATTACTACTTTTACTTTGGTAAAATATCTTGAGTACTTCATCCAACATTGCTCCTTTCTCTGTCTCTGCATAATGCATATAAATGAGATATTTTCTCATTTGGGCAGACCAACAACACTCAGAACGGATCAACCAAATGACCACACTGTGAAAACCAATATCATGAGAGACTCATTTACTAGTCTGGTATAATCAGTCTGATCTGTTGCTGGCATTTAACACTGATGACAACACTCAATACACAACAACAGAAATAGATTCTTAAAACAAGCAAGAAGAAACACAAATTATTCAGAGCAGACCACTACAAAGATGTAATCATAAAACCAATATGAAACACATTTTATCTTTGAGATTCCTGCTCAGTAGCCTATAGCTGATTTTACAGCACATCTCTAGTCTAACATCTTTAATATCCGTACATCATTTACTACGTTATGACAGTAATTTAGATGGTTATGTAGTAAGGGAAACTTAAAATATAT